GTCCTTGAATGGGGAGGCCAGTGTGGGGCGTGGCCTTCTGTGTGCTGTGCACGTCGCACACCCCCACGGGACAGGGCCGCCAGCACGATTCCGAGTTGGTCTCCGTGTAAGCCTGAGGAGGTCACTGTCTCAGTTTGTCCCTCCATAACAGGGACCTTTCCAGATGCCAAATTCTGGGCCGGGGAGATGGCCTCGCCCCTCCTCGTGCCATGGACCGTCAGAGCCCGAGGACGGCTGTGCACAGATGGCGAGGCGCTCAGCAGACCTGTGCTCCCTGGGTTCTGTGGCTCAGCAGTGCACTGAGGGTGTCCCCGGGAGGCCCGCTGGGTGACCGCCGGTGCAGAGCTGCCCGCCAGCTGTGAGACCTAAGTGGTCTGCAGGAGTGTCGCCCGCCCTTCCCTCACAGGACACTCCCAGCTGAGTGGGTGGAGGGGACAGCAGGTGGCATGACGTGGAGCTGAGGCAGAGGAGGAGCCGCATGGTGGGAGGAACAGTGCCCCCCAGGGACAGTCCACAGGGACAGCAGCCACCCCAGGGGGAGTGTCCCATAAGACAGGTGCCCCCACTGCCCGGGAGCCTCGCCAAGGGCGCCTTCATGGGCGGCACCAGACCCACAGCAGCCACCACCACAGTGACCAGTGTCCAGGGTCCTTGGCCTGCATCCTGTGGCCTCCCACCGCCCAAGCTGGACATGCCAGGACGTCCCCTCTCAGGGTGGACACCACAGTGGTGGAGCCAGTCACTGCCTGGGTCCTGGTGGCCAAGGGGGTGGTTGAACCTGTTGTCTCCCACCTTAGGACAGTGAAATTGGTAAGGAGGGGAATTCTAGTGACACAAGGGCATCTGAAAGGTGGCACCTAAAGGTGAAGGGGCGTTGAGAGCAGGGCTTGCTCAGCTGCCCATCACTGGGTGCCAGTCCCGGTGTCTCAGGAGGCTGAGGCAGGAGGATCGCAACTTCAAACCAGCCTCAGCAGAAAACAAGGCACCAAGCAACTCAATGAAACTCTTGTCTCTAAATAAAATGCAAAATAGGGCTGGGGGTGTGGCTCAGTGGTGGAGTGTCCCCCACACACAAAGGAATTCAGTCATCAGGCCCAAGGGTCCCAGAAATCCACTGGAGAAACACACACACACACACACACACCCCTCTGCTGTCAGCTCTAGAATAAAGGGTCCGGGGGTTGGGTCTGAGCTTGGCCACCCAGCCGTGAAGCCAGCCCTGAACACACCGGCCCGTGTCCTGGCACACGGAGGAGAGGGCTGGAAGTCGGCCGTGGTCTCCTCTGGGTCAAGCTGGCTGCCACCCACGCATCACCTGGGAAATGTCCGTTCAGTGGTTTAATCAGGTCAGGACAGGCCAAGAGTCCGTGGGAGCCGCTGGCGGGCGAGCTATTTGGGGGAGAATAAAGGGGTTGCCAGGACCCTGGAGGCGGCCTGTCTTTCCTGTCTGCCACTCTTCACCCCCAGCGCTTGTCAGTGTGGAGTTTGCTGCTGGGGGGGAACCAACTCCGACTTCACAGACATTTGTAAGAGCAAATTTAATAAAGCTGGGGATAATGCTGCTCAGATGCAATTCTTCCTTTTTGCATCATTAGTCTTTCTTTTCTATTGCAAAGCATTTGAAATGCCAGGAGTTATTGTTATAGCAACAAAGGAAATGACTGAGTGGTTGATGACTGATGAGAGGCGCTGGGGACCCAAGGAAGGCTCTAAGGGAGCGCCGGGGCTGACTCCTTTTCTGTTTCCCTTTCCTTTTCTTGTGAACGGCGGCCTCGCCTGCATTCCTGGCCCCACAATCACTCTGCATCTGCTTTATTGCATGTATGTTAATATCAC